AAGGAAAGGCTGATTACTATGTGACAAATTGATGTCCCACACACACACCACTGATCCCCTGAGTGCTGTGACAGGCTAGCTGTCACCTACCTGTCCAGGTGAAAGGCAGCAATCTCAGCATTGTGTCTTTCAAAATCAGAGAAATAGAAGAAGTCTGGAGGGGTCTCCTGCTCCCGGGTCTGCCTGCAGGGGCACAAGGAAAAAAGGCTCAGAAATCAAGTATAATTACAATGCAAAGCCAAGGTTTACATACTGCATCAGCATTATGTAAAAGGCTCAGTGTTAATTATTTTCTCGATTACTTGTTTGGGCTGTAGAATGTCAGAAAATATCCCAGAGCCCACATCTTCAATTCCTTGTTTTGTCTGAACAACAGTTAAAAAATTAAAAATATTCAATGCTCTGAGAAGAAACCCAGAAAATGAATGAGTGAATTTCTGTCATTTATGCTTGACAAATTAATTAAATGAAAAATTACTAAATTTTCTGCTTAATTTTGTGTTCACTGGCTAATCTCTTCATCATAAACTGATGTAATATAAGGTGTTTGGGTTTGGTTTCACAAAACAATGCAGTGTAGTGACAGTTCAGGACTCAAATCAGTGCCTGTGTAATTTAGATGTCTTCTGCACAACTTCATTTTCAAAGCTGTGGCACTCCACAGCAGCTCCTTCAGCTTTAAACCTGTGTACATCATACTGTGAACAGCATTTATGAGTAATAATCAAGGTGCAATAAACCCGTGTCCTTGCATCACAGAAAAGCCCTCATCAGAGTTACTGTGGCTGTTTTGTAGGGCAGCAAAGAGAAGGGAATAACTCAAGGTCAGAGACTTTCCTCCTGAAGCATCCGTTCCTGTTCTCGATGTGTACCTATTTCTGTCTGCCTCTGATCCTTCCCTGGAAAAACTGCTTTCAACACATATTCTGCCTTAAAGCTTTCACTGTTGGGAAAAGAGGCTCTTAAAGGCTTAAATCCCAGGGCTGGTGGAACATGGGCCAGGACAGGGCAGCATAGACAGGATGGTGGGGGTAACAGAAGTGGAGGTAAAAAGACTCCATGACAAGCTGCTGGGTATTGAAAATATGTTAAACTCTTTAAACATACAATGAAAACTGTGCAGTCTACCATCAAGTTTTCTTCTACAGTAAAGCTGCACATTTGAGTTATTTTTCCTTTTATACAAACTGCCTTCTCTTTGCTTTTTTAATTGACAACAGTAAATACTTTCCAGGAAGGCAGCTGAGGGTAATGACTGGGACTGCAGCCTGTGCCATTTCTGCTCCAGCTTGTTGAGGGAGGATGAGAAGAATGGAAACTATTTTGGTAACTTCTCTTTCTCTCCTTCCCTCTCTAGTCCCTCCGGATGCCTCTCACTGTTTATTTCGCTCCGAACCCTCTATCTCACCTCCTCTGCTTCTCATTCTGCCCTCACGCAGAACTGTTTTCTCTGCTTTTTTTTCTGTGCATCCACAGCTTAATACTTTATATCTGTCTGCCTCGCTCTCTTTCACTCTCTCTGTTCCATCTTTCACACTTTCACTGGCTAATTGTAACTCCACAGCTGTGTGGCTGACATATGCACCAGTCATTAACTAACCCAACATGCAGTCCAGAAATGCACTTATCCACTAAAAATTCCTCAGTTTCCTCCTTTTGTAATCTATCACTCTTATTGTCTCTTTCTCCATCGTCTGCATCCCTGCAAGCTTTTGACAGACAGCCACATGCACATGGGCAGCTCAGTTTGACCAAAGTATAGACCAAGAATATTGAGCTCAAATTCCAAAGGTATTTAGTTCATTTTCACTATAGCCTACTATAATTAGCATCAAGATATGACATTTGCAAAACGTCATGGTGCCCTATTCCTCCTTTTTCATTTCTCAACTTTCTTTTCTCCCTCTTTTCCCCCAATCCTGAGCAGCCGGCGAGTCTCTGTTAGCAGAGGCTGAGCACTGTCTGTTGATTGTATCGCTCTGCTGGATAGCCTTGCTTCAGGGACAGAGCTCTCCCTCTGCATCAAGGAAAAACGATACTGACTTTGAGAGCAGAGAGCAGCGTATATTTACACCAGCACTGCTCAGCCCAGTAACAGGACAATATCATTCAGTCCAACATATGAAATGACTTCAACTGTTTTATTGATGGGGATTGCTGTGCAAAGCCAGGGCCTGGATTTATTTCCTGACAAATGTCTGGAAAATTAGTCTTAGGTAATAAATCAGCTTTATCTTTTGGAGACTGTAATAAAGAAACTTTGGGATAAACTGTATTTTATATATTTTGTGTTTTTGAAGTGTAGTGAGTGTGATGTAGAAGGACTGAAGTTGAAATATAGTGAAACCATTTGGTAGAAATGTGTGGAATTTAAAAACAACAGGTTTAAAAAGCACTCCATTCACTACTGAGAAATGTTTTCTCATTTGCCCAGCCAACAATGTCAAGTTGATGGCACCTTTGAAGGAACCGGTTGACATTTAGGGAAACACACAGTCTGTATGTTATAATATGAATCAAATACCAGTAGCCAGTTAGCTTAGCTTAGCATTAATACTGGAAATGGTGAAAACGGCTAACCCGACTAATTTTCTGTGCATCATTAACAAAGCAAAGGCACCAAAACCTGCCTACCAGCACCTGATAAATAAACACATATTTTGTTAAACTGTACAATAACTGAAGTGTAGAAATGACAACTTTTTTGGATTATTTTTAACGTTTAATGTTTGGATGTAGTTGAAGCATCTGGTGCTGTATGTAGCTGTATAGGATGGTATTTACTTTTTACAATGAACTTACAGATATTGTATCTATACAAATATATGTAAATGTTGATGATGGATAATGAGTGTGATGCTCTAAACATGGCACATTATCCAATAATTCAACACAGCGTGATGTCAAATTCATATTCTCTATAAACCTTGATTGGTAGTCTATGCAGTGAATCCAGGCAATTAATGATAAAATTAATATATGACCCAACAAAATCAGCAAATTACAAAAAACTTTTTTTTTTAAATATGGTTTACATGTCAGATCATTTCTTAGCTGAGCACAGGGGCTTACTCATCATCTTGAGGTTGACAGGCAACCAAAAGAAACTCCAGGAAGTCCTGGTAAGTGGTGCTGTCTTCAGGCAAGATCATACTGCGCATGGATGCATTACCTTCTGACACAGGCATGAAAACTGTTTCCTCCTGTTTCCAGTCGTTACACTTACTGTCTGCTGGCTGTAAGTTCATATTTAACAGACAGATACAAGAGTGGTATCGATCTTCTCATCTAAGTCTCTGCAAGAAGGTGAATGAGTGTATTCCCCAAACTATTCATATGAATGAGACAAATAGAATAGCCTTTATTTTCCCCTGGGAGAGGTTTGTTTTCACAGCCTGTACACAACACAAAAACATTTACAGTATATACTGCAAACACACAAGATAGATGCAGAATATTCATTCCCTTGTCCTAAAACCAAAATCACATTATATACATACATAAATAGCACAGATCATACAGCAGTGTCAAGGATGCAAAGGCAGAAGGGAAGTGCCTGGCTCCACCACGCATGTACTGTGGGTACGTAAAGTATTCAGACCCCCTTAAATTTTTCACTCTTTGTTATATTGCAGCCATATGCTAAAATCATTTAAGTTCATTTTTTTCCTCATTAATGTACACACAGCACCCCATATTGACAGAAAAACACAGAATGTTTGACATTTTTGCAGATTTATTAAAAAAGAAAAACTGAAATATCACATGGTCATAAGTATTCAGACCCTTTGCTCAGTATTTAGTAGAAGCACCCTTTTGAGCTAATACAGCCATGAGTCTTTTTGGGAATGATGCAACAAGTTTTTCACACCTGCATTTGGGGATCCTCTGCCATTCCTCCTTGCAGATCCTCGCCAGTTCTGTCAGGTTGGATGGTAAACGTGGGTGGACAGCCATTTTCAGGTCTCTCCAGAGATGCTAAATTGGGTTTAAGTCAGGGCTCTGGCGGGGCCATTCAAGAACAGTCACGGAGTTGTTGTGAAACACTCCCATAGCATGATGCTGCCACCACCATGCTTCACTGTTGGGACTGTATTGGACAGGTGATGAGCAGTGCCTGGTTTTCTCCACACATACCGCTTAGAATTAAGGCCAAAAAGTTCTATCTTGGTCTCATCAGACCAGAGAATCTTATTTCTCACCAGCTTGGAGTCCTTCAGGTGTTTTTTAGCAAACTCCATGCAGGCTTTCATGTGTCTTGCACGGAGGAGAGGCTTCCGTCGGGCCACTCTGCCATAAAGCCCCGACTGGTGGAGGGCTGCAGTGATGGTTGACTTTCTACAACTTTCTCCCATCTCCCGACTGCATCTCTGGAGCTCAGCCACAGTCATCTTTGGGTTCTTCTGTACCTCTCTCAAACGTCTTCCATTTAAGGATTATGGAGGCCACTGTGCTCTTAGGAACCTTAAGTGCAGCAGAAATTTTTTTGTAACCTTGGCCAGATCTGTGCCTTGCCACAATTCTGTCTCTGAGCTCTTCAGGCAGTTCCTTTGACTTCATGATTCTCATTTGCTCTGACATGCACTGTGAGCTGTAGGGTCTTATATAGACAGGTGTGTGGCTTTTCCTAATCACGTCCAATCAGTATAATCAAACACAGCTGGACTCAAATGAAGGTGTAGAACCATCTGAGGGATGATCAGAAGAAATGGACAGCACCTAAGTTAAATATACGAGTGTCACAGCAAAGGGTCTGAATACTTATGACCATGTGATATTTCAGTTTTTCTTTTTTAATAAATCTGCAAAAATGTCAAACATTCTGTGTTTTTCTGTCAATATGGGGTGCTGTGTGTACATTAATGAGGAAAAAAATGAACTTAAATGATTTTAGCATATGGCTGCAATATAACAAAGAGTGACAAATTTAAGGGGGTCTCAATACTTTCCGTACCCACTGTAAATCGAAAAGTACATTCTTATGAAACAACCCCTTGGCTTTTGAGCAGGAGAGATTATTTTCAGAATCGTCAGACACTAGTATATAGTAGAAAAACAATAATCTAATGGTGTTCATAAGATAAAAAATACAGACCAAACATACTGGGGTCTAACTCACCAGTATTTCATGACTGTGCCAACTGTAAGAGCGTAGTCATGGAGATTTCTTGGACAATAAGCAT